AATAAACATAGAAACGATAGTAATAAATTTTTGTCATGATTCTTTTTTTTTTAAATGTTTTAATTATCTACGAAGACTTTGTTATTATAATCGAAGGACATATTTAACAATTATTTTTTCCTTTTGTCGAGAATAAATCAAAATTTTTTATCATGGGATTTTACAGAATAAATGTTAAACACACAAGAGATTGATATATTCCAAGCATCATCATCTAAATATCAACCACAAGATGATTTATGTTTTCATGAAAAATCTTTAAAACAATATGATTCAAATGATGTCTTTAATGAAACAGATAGTACTATATAAAATAGTACTGTTGGACTTAACATATCCTCAGCTAAATCTTGTATTTTACAGGTATATATTTGAAGTTTTCGAGTCATGATTTTCTTCTCTAATGTCTTTTATTTTTATATATAGGCATCGATAACTAATAAATCATCATATGAATTTCAATATTTAGCTTGGAAAGCTCTAAAAAAAAACAATTAATTATCAAATTAACAAAATCAATGAATAGAATTTATCATTGATTATTAATGAACTATTTAAAAATAATATTGTACGTGCTCGTGGTTTATTTTCTGATGGTATTATTCAAGCACAAAGAGTATCACCATATAATACACCTATTTATGTTGTATTAATATCTGTTATCAATAGTGTACTTCCTGATATTGCTCAATTAATTGATTAATATCATCATTTAAATGTACATATAATATAATTGATAAAAAAAAGTAATTGATTAGCAACATTACTATTTATTGCAGATATTATTAATCAAAATGTGGTATGTTTAGTGAGAAGAAAACAATTAGTTTTTGAAATAATTCTATAAAACTTGATCGTTTTTTGTTCTGTCTAGTTACATAAAATAGTTGCATTACAAATACTGATTCGTCTACTTGAAAATTCAACTAATAATAGTATAGAATTAGCAATTGAATATTTAAAACATTGTGAACATAAATTATCTTAAGTTAGTTCTCAATGATTATATTAAATATTTTCAAAATAAAAATATCTAAATTACTTAATAAATCATCATTATATAAAGGAGCACAATATATGATTAAAAGTCAAGTTGCTCTACAAAAATATCAATTTAAAATAAATCGATCAATACAATTTCATTTTGATTTAGTCAATAAAACTAAACAATATCTACATGTATTTACATTGGATTATCCATCTCAACTTGAACTAATACTTGGTAAGACTGGTTTTTTTTCTTTTTATCAAATAAATAAAATATTTCTTTTTGCTTTAGATATATTTCAATACGATAAGGAATATGAACTATACGAACAAATTCAAAAGAAAATTCTTACTAAACAAACTATTAATGATGATAAATCGGTTAGCGATCAAGACAATAATAGAATAAAAGATAATCTTAATGAAGTAGAAAGTAAATTATAAAAGATTAAAAAACAAACAGTTAAAGATTAAGAAATCGAAAGAAAGAATTTTAAGAAGAAATAATTATCGAGCAAACTGAAACAAATTTAGTATAATATCGTCGTATTATTTATTAAACAATTGAATCAAGTGTTATTATAGACAGTTATTTAGAATGAATTTATCTTCAGAAGAAAATGTATGCTTGATTTTTTTTTTTTTTTTGATAAAAAATAATTATTGTTTTAATTTGCAGATGGAATTATGTTGGATGATATTTAATATATGTGTACAAAAACGAACATATGAACGATTTTTTGGTTTACTTGGTCAACATTTGTGTTTGTTAAGGAATGAATATGTTGAATGTTTTGAAAAAAATTTTTCAATACCAATACGATATCGTACATACTTTTGAAAACATTCAAATTAAAATTGCTGGCAAATTTTTTGCTTATAATCTACTTTTTACAGATTCTATTTCATGGCGTGTAAATTTTTCTAAATCTCTTATATTACTTTGATATAATATTTATTTCTAGGTTATTTGTTGTATTCGTTTAACTGAAGAAGATTTAACATTGTCATCAGGTATTTGTATTAATAATTTATTCTTAGAATTATTCGAATATCTTGGTTTAGATGAACTCAACTATCAATTACGAGATCCATAAATAATGAATAAAATAAAATTGTCAATAAAATTTCATATCATATTTCTTTCTATTATAGAACATTGATTAAATATTTATGAAGGACTTTTTCCACGAAATAATCTACAAAGTATTCTTCTTTTTTTGAACAATCTTTCAAGTCGATTAATTTAAATGAATTGACGTAGGTTAAGAAACTTTTTCTTTTTAAACTTCTATATCATTTTATTTATATAGAGACGATGTACATCGAGTAGACTAAAAGAAACATTCTCTCTACATAGTCTGATAGAGAAAGAAACGCTCTATATTTCTATCATTTTTTTTTTATCATACTGCAATTAATATCATAATATTAAAATTTCTATAAGATCTGTTTTGTTTGGATGTGTCACGGTTTTATGAATATTTGTTCATAGAAATAAGATAGAGAAGTACGATTTTTACTATTGAAAAGATCAGATAAAGATGTATCGAATCGTGTATTCCATGTTTTTCTAATATTGATTTCTGAAGGATTTTTATTAAATTTTTTTAACAGTCGGAAATTTTTTTTTGATATGAAAACAAGGAAAAAGCAACAAAGGTGAACTTTTTTCACAGATTTTCCTACAAAATGATATAAGAGATTCGACTAGGATGCGTATTAATCATCTTAGCCTGCTGCACGTTGTAGATCTTCGATTAGTGATTTGAATTTATACTTGATACTTGAAAATTCACTGTCAACAAGTTACCAGATAAACTCGTTTTAAAAAGATCAATTGTGAAAACCTTACAAAAAAAAAAACAGATCAGGAAAACCTATAACATATGAGTCGATGCGTCTTTACCTCCTCTTTTTAACGGTGAAAACCGCACTTCTCTAACTAACTTCTATCAATAGTTATTTAAAAAATATTCATGCGTATTTCTTAAAAACAGAATTAATACAACCAGCACATATGATAACGAAACAAATCTTATCGAAATTTCATGATTATGATATTAGTTGCAGTTTGATCAAATAGCATAGAATGATAGAGCTTTTCCTTCTTTGTCAGACTATATAGAAAGAAAGTTTCTTTAAATCTGTTATACGGTATTAAAGTGTCACTGCCACTATTTTTGGTATGTCCTAAGTATTTTATTGGAATAACTTACCATTTTATTCATTAATTCATTTAGATAAATTCTCTGATGAATGTGGATGTGGGTGAGGGTTAATATATTCTCTACACACCGACACTATCATTCTCACACTATTTCTTATAAATTATGATTATCATCTTTCATCAACGACATGTATCAACAGAAAGTAGTAATTTATAAACTACAGCATATGTTATCCAAGCCTTTTTTTTTTACAATATCGGTATTTTTATCATGTTTTCCATTTAAATCTTACAGATATTACGTTGACAACTATATAATCTAAGCACAAATTTAAATATACGGATAATGTTTGACATTAGTAACTATATTGTTCTCGGTTAAAATGTATTTATTTTTAAAATAATGAATAGATATAAAACTGGAATCATCAACAAAAAAATACGTTTTTTCATGAGTAAACTCTAATAAAGGCGTCAATCGGTTGTCGACAGATAGGACACAATCGAAGAGAATGTCCACATGGTACACATGTGGCCATATGGCCACATGGAATGCATGCGAGTTGTTTTTCTTCGCTCATACAAAGTGCACATGGATGTTTTAATGAGTTATTCATTGTTTGCATCGGCTCAGGTACAATATCCATCAAACATCTATTTTCTGGTTTTGTCATCTCAACTTCAATCGTTTTGACTGCTCCTCTTGAAATCGATTCATCAGTCGCAGATTGACTTGATGAGGTTATTTTAATAATAGAATCATTTGATGAGTTAGATAAAAGCGTTGTTGCAACTGTAGGAACTGATGATAATGCGGCTTGAACTTCTACACAATTATAAATTAAATAGCAGTTAAATAACTTTATATCGTTTTGTTTTTAGATTAAAATACCTTCATGTTCCTTTTCATGAATCTTTTGCATTTGTATGTTAGGTATAATTATATTCTCTTTTTTGCCATTTATATGTTCAATTTGTTTTTGAAGAACCATACAAGCTATTAACAGATCACAATCCGTTGGAAAATCGTCATCTAACGCATGAAAATAGAAAAATAATGAAATTATCTAAAGTGAAAAAATAGGAATAATTATTTGTTTCTAAATTTACGCTTAAGTCGAAGTTGTTCTTCCCAACAACGCTTGATAATCGATAGTTTGAAATGTTGATCAAGCAATCTTTGTGATACTGACAAATCCAATCGAGCAGCTACAAACCGTGATAGACTACTCTCATCTTGTTTTTGTACTTTCTGATCATTTGAACTCGATTTATTCACTAAATTAGTTTCTATTGAACGTTCTAAAAAAGTAAAGAGCTATTCATTCTTTGTTTTCTGTTGAATAAAAGATCGTAAACAAACCCTGTTGAATTTTTCGATAAAGGCTATCTCCACAGAGTTGTTTTACATATTTGCATTGAGGAAACCAGCGTGCATGTTCAACAGTTGGATTATCATTCGAACCCCAATTCTGCAGTGATCCATTGCAATAGAAACAAGTGACAGTGGCATTCTTACCAGTATAGAAGAATCCTGCACGAACAAGATCATCCACCGAAGGTAAAGATTCATTGGGCCAACTTGCAAAGGATGCGTGACGTTTGGGAATTTCAATATAATTAGCATGACAAGCAGTCGTATGAACGATTTCATTTGAATGAAATAGGTGAGAAGTAGCAGTTTCTGAATGATTTCTGACTGAATTTTCATTAATAATAAGAATAGATCCTTCGTCATAATGTAGAAACATAGCTTTTACAAAGGGACATTTAGGTGATAGAATTTTGTGTATTTCATATGGATCATCTAAATACGATGTCCATTGTTGACAAATGAGGTTACAGTATAAACAGATAACTCGATCGCCAACATTACAACTGAAAAATCCAGCTTCAATCATTTGTGCTTGAGATGGTGCATGACAATGAGACCAGTGTGAAAAAGTTCGATAACGTACTTGTTTGAATATTTCAACTTCTCTCAATACATGAAAGGTTTTTCTTTCTGTAGTAGTTTCTTCGATGTTTTGGCGCGTAGGAGATTTCTCTTTCTCATTCGATTGTTTCTTTAGTTGTGGAAAAGTGAAGGGAAATAGAATGGAGTCTTTCGGTGGTTGCATAGCGCGAACAAAACTACAGTTTGGACAACGCTCTGCATGGATAGTGAAAGGACTCATAGTTGCTATCCAATTAGACACTTCAAGTTGACATTGATCACACTGAGCAGTATCTCCGACATTGGTATACGTGAATCCAGCTGCTTTCATTGAAATAACTGAATGAATACCTGGCTTTTTAAGAAGATCGCGGCATGTTTTCAGAACTTTTCTGTACGTATGTGCTATTTTTTCTCGCCAAATGTTTTGCTTATCATCGGTTACTAGCGATGACTTGGCCCTATTGAATGTTTGCCATTTGACTATAGTCGGACACTCACTTTGAAATGTTTTAACTAACGTGGTATCTGGTGAATCAAAAGCAAGCATTTTGAAAATAATAATAAACCACAGATTCATAGACAATATAGATGCTTGAAATATTATCAGCAAACAACTATTGTGCAGTGTGCATGTTTCTATGAGAAAAGAAATAGGATAGTTCTTTCGATATGTGGCTCACGTCAAAAGATAAATATATTCATATACAACCGTAACGTATGTTTGTAGGGGCTTGGTACAGAAAAAATAGAGCTATGAGTTGTGGATGTCGATAGGTAAGAATACATTATGATCTCATCTGTCCATGTAGAGGTTAATCTAGAGATTCTAAAAAGCAAAACAAACCACCTGGAAATCCCGAAAATAGAACAAATAGCCAGAAAGTCAAGAGAAAGTAGAATAATGTCCTGGAAGTCAAAGATGGTTGATCAAGTCCTATATGAGTTCTATCGAAGTCTGATAACATAAATTTCTACATGTTCCAACAGTTAGATATCATTGAATGTTTGTTCAAGCTGGATTGTTTGATTTATTACCCAATTCATCCACTTGTTTAGTGCAATTCTTTTGAGTAGGGAAGGCACTAGTCAGAATATTTGAAGAGCAAAACACACCTGATAGTAGATTAAATCATGTTTTGCGGTAAATGTTTTTATGGCGAACTTATTCAAGTTTTGAATAGTTGATCAATATAGACAAAGGAAAAGCAAAAAGTACCACTAAACTCTAATAGAAGCAATTGATTACGACGCTATGAACGTTCGATAATAAAAAGGGATACAGACTTAGAGCATCCCTATAACAATTTGGACTCGCCTTTTACTTTTTTAATTTGAGTTATCTTAGAAACATCACAGATTAGGGCTGATGCAACGAAAGTTACAGTTGACCAGTTAGTAAAATCACAGATAATAAGAAATTGAACGATCTGTAAGCATTTTAAGATGAGATCCTAGAAAATTATTTCAGATCAGGCTGTTTTCAGACTTGGAATCTGTTGAATTTCTTTAACCACACTAATAGACTAATCAGTTGAAAAACTTTCACAAAAAAAAAACAGAATCTTTTCTAATATTTTTGTATTGAAAATATTACCTAAAACTTATTAACCATCAAGCGTTTGGGACAATCAGTTAATAGTGGTTCAGCAGAGTGAGCGTGCAGTTTCTCAGTAAAAATCCTTTAGTTTAGATTCAATTAAACAATTATCGGCTAGCTAACTTTTCATAGATATTATCAATACATTCCGCATTATTCCAGGCTCTCACTGTAGAAGATGAAGACGCGATCTCAAAATTTACAGTTGAGCCTTTGATGACAACTAGAGAATTGTTGACTGAGAACTTTCGACCGCATATTTCTGTACTGTTAAAACAATGAAAACCTACCAAAATGAACAACACAGTCTAGCTTAAATGCTCTACAAATTGATTTAAAAGAATCGGTGAAAACTTGCCGATTGTAGATGCTCCATCGGATAGGAACAATAATGAATCAACCAGTCCATCCAATTCCAAACCGAAATTCACTTATTCACACGAAGTAGTCATAAAATATTTATCTTGTAACAATGTTCCCTTTCGAAAAATAGTAAATGATTGAAATGTAACAGTTTTATGCATTATGCTACTATGAACAAGAGTATTACTCAAGACTCATCAATATAATATCTGCTTTAATCCATTAAGAAACGAAGCTACAAGTGGATTCAAATAAAACCAAGTCAATTTTATTTAAGACTATAGATGAAAATTGATAAATATATATATTTATTTTAAAGAACTCTCTTAGATGAATTATCTTCGACGACAATATCTTGATAAAGAATTGAATGAGAACAAGAATAGGTATACTGTAAAATATTCACTCACATAATCGTACCTTTATGTTCTACGAAAATTTGAATCTTGCAATCTTAAAAATTATTTTAAAATGAGTTTCTCTTTCACTCTGAAATTTTCTACGGGTACATTTATGCCCACTTTGTTTTTTCTTCGACGAAAATATGATTCAATACAAACAATGCATACTTTTGTCCTCCCTTAAAAGTTGGAAAAAACCAAATTATTTATAACTCTTAGGCAATCATTGCAATTAAAAAGAAAAAGAAAAAGAAACAAAACAAAGCCTTTATCATGCAACACACAGTGGGAGAATATAGGAAAGAGTGTGGAGATATGAAGTGGGTGAGTGTCTTTTGTAAAGGTGTCGGCATGGATGACAGTAGGGATGAAGACTACTTCTAAAATCATCCTTACACTCACATCCCCACACACCCGCACACCCACACCCCACCCACACCCACACTCACACCCACACCCACACCCTGCACACACCCATACCCAAACCTCACACACACCTAAAAATAAATAGACAAAAGTATGAAGAATTTCATGCTTTATCTTTCTACTTTATTGCAAGGGAAATCTAACGGCTTGGCAGATTTACGGCCTTATCTAGCATTATTATTTTATTTTATTTTTCTTTTTTAATTGGGGCTGGTTTATTTATTTGTCTTGCTGCTATTCGCTTGATAACCATGTCTTTTTTTTAGATTTCATTTTCATAACTTATTGTTATCATTCTAAACATTGATTTAATGTACAAATAAGTCTGTTGCACACACTTATTATATAAACAACAGGTCTTAACGATTTATTATGTATGCCAATGAACTCAGAAACAGTGATGTTCATTATTTCTAAAAGTTAGAACTTAATTATATCATGCTTTTGTGTTGGTCATGTGAGGGTTACATGAATTTTGACTCACAGAATTTTCTGGCCGGACTGGGCCGAAACTCCTATGGGACTTTCGACCCGCGGCCTCATTGAACCCTGAAATAAAAAGCTTGATTTTTTAAATTAGTTACTGAATATCATAGTGCTGAGTAGGATGTCATAATAGGTCTGGAAGTGGGGTGAAAATGTTGTGTGTGTGAATATTTGAGTCTTCTTTTAATTGCCATTCACACCCATTATGATATACTGCTCAGCCTTACGCCGAATAGCTAAGCAGGACGCTATAGTGCTCAGCAATAATGATAGCTCATATTTGATTAAGATGTTCGACGAAACTGAATCGTAAGTACCCATGTTCAAATCTTCTTCCTCATCTATAATCGATAAGTTTTGACAATTCAACAATGAGATATCTTGTAGACCAATTTCTTTTTATTTTAATCAAATTTCGATGTCGTTGGAAAAAAATTGTTTGATTGATTGGAAACTGCGGCGTGTCTAAATAATCTAATACCTAAACAATGCTTTCACTGACTTGTATATATCATACCGTTAAATCTTTTAATATGAATGACAATCAATTTTTTAATTATTCCATGGTTTTATTTGCGTACAGGTTACCTACTAAAAAAGTGTGTTCATGATAAATCATCGTTTATGGATGTTCTTGATTGAACAGCGATATGATCTCTGATAAGCTATGACTAAATCATACAAATGAAATAGTGCAACAGATGGATTATTCACTTCTCCAAACTCAATACATTCAATTATTCACATGTAGATAGAGTAAAGAAGGTTAGTGAACACAATGCAACCATCAGCTGTAAATTCTACTGTGCTTCTTTTCGATAAGCTAACACAAAATACATATCGATATGGTATTCCTCCTATATGTATTCTTGGTCTGACAGGTCATATAATTAATGTTTTTCTCTTCACTCGTCCAACACTAGTTGATAGTTCGTGTTGCAATTATTTTCTTGCTTCATCATGCGTTGCTTTATTCCAAATCTTGTTCAGTCAACCAGTTCATTTCGTACAGTTTGGTCTTGGTATTCCTTTGACAAACACTTGGTTGTGTCGTATACAATTTTATGTTGCCCATTCTGCTTACCTGGCTTCAAGTTTTCTAATTACTCTTGCGACTGCTGATCGGTTCGCGAGTTCATGCCGTCAAGTAAAACATCGTCGTTGGGCTAATTTAACTGTCGCTCGAAAATTGGTGCCAATTGCTATTATTATTGCCTGTGCAGTCAGTTCACATATTCTATGTATGTTTACCATCAATCATGAGCATCGAAACGAATGTTGGGCTGCACATGGTGATATCTATCGTTTTATTTTCGACATAATCTTACTCTCTTATGTTATCATATACCCGTTTTTGATTGGAACATTCGGTTTGCTTACTATTCACAATATTCGCCGATGCCATCTTAGACAACGACGATCACCATTTCTAGACTATCGAGTGCATGATTTACAGCAAATGACGCTCGTTCAAACTGCATGTGTCATTACTTTCACTCTGCCTTACGCCGTAATAAAACTTCATCGGACAATAATGACACCCAGGTATGATGATATGTCTGATGTCTATTGGGCTGTAGAGCGATTTATAGCATGCTTGGTTGATTTCGGCTGTTACATAAATGATGGTGCGGGATTTTACATCTATTCACTTTCGTCAATTACATTTCGACGAACATTGCTGCAATC